GCTATGAAGTCTGAAAGAATATGCAATTACTCCTTAAAGGGTTAAACAGAATCACCATAGGAACATAAATCAAGCCTTCACTTGTATTTATATTTTAATCCTTCATTTCTCAAATTTCACTTTGTCCTACCAAAAAAACCCCATCCTATTTTACATCAGAACAAATTCTATAAACTCTTCATCCTCCCCACACTTACCAAACCAGTTAAGTTTGTGAAAGAAAAAGGGATCATAGTGTTCTGCAGAGCTGCTTAGATAATAAAATACTGGGAATACCTCACACGTCAGATCCTTCAGGCATTTCCACTCCTAACATAAACAAAAACTAAATGTAAGATTTACGTTGTTATAAACTTCAAAATATTTGAAGATAAATATCCCACTGAGACTGTTGCTTTCCTCGCTCCAGCCCTGTATTTATGCCAAGTGTAACTGTTGTCATGGCTGCTTAGTCAACTCATTAAAAATAACATTTCACTAGTCTCCAACTACCAGCCATATGGAATCTGTTAAGAGGAAATGGATGTGGGCTCTATAAAATGGATCTAGATAAGCCTTTATTGCTTCACCATCACATCAAAAGCCACACCACTCAAGGAGCAACTTCCACCTAAAGGATCTCAGTGCCTGAACTTCAAAGGTAAATGCCCAATTTTGTTCCAGAGAATTCCTGGCCATTTAGAAGTGAAGCTTATTCTAGTATTCCTGGACAGGAGTGGATCCAGGGAGGTCCTGTAACCAGTGAGTATCTTACTAGATAGCCAAGTTTTTCCACACAGCTATCTTTTAAACAACAGTAAGCTCTTTTTGGAGGGCCTGTCTTGGTTTTTCTGGAAGCAGATGCAGAAGAACTCAGCAGAAATCTCAAGAGCCATGCTGACAGTCTCCTTTAAATGACTATCAGTTTACCAGACCCCAGTTTCTACAACTGCCACTCTGCCATACAATTTCTGTTTTTCTTTTCCTGTTACAGTAAGCAGCTTAAATCTCAACTGCATATAGTTACTTCTAGTTTACATTTGAAGATACAAGTAACCACACCTATTCAATGTGCCTATAAGCAGGTATTTCTCCCCTAAACCTGAGACCACATCTGCCTGTAGAAGCAAGACAACTCCTGAATACTTCTCATCTCTGGCCAACATTACTCAAGATAAAAAGCAGCAATGACAGATTTAGAAGAGGATACAGCAGTTTATGTGAGGGGAGGACAAAAGCAGCTTCACACACACGCATCTGGTAACTAAGTACTCCGTCATGTGACAGCTTGACACATTCTGTCACTAAGTCTCACATTCCAGTTTCCATTTTTCTGTATTTGTTCAAATCGTAATTGTATGAAGTCACTGATTTCAAAACTGGTTTGTATTTCAATTACTTAAGCAACTGTTCAAAATTAACATATGGGTCTCCCATGGTAAGAACAGTCAAAAAATACTCGAAGCAGAGCGTTTTAATCAGGGTGTACTTACACCTCAGCAATTCTGCATTACTTCAACGTAATGTGACATCCACCACCACCCTCCTTTTCCTCTGTAGCTGGCCCCATCCTTCAGGAGGGTGTGGTTATTGCTGCTTTGCTCTCTCCCCTCTCACCCTAGCTTCCCTCACTCAGGTTGGTGCTGCAGCCCAGCCTGGCTGTACACACAGCAGTACCAGTACTGCCTCCTCCAACAGCCCCACAGCACTTCCCATGCTGCCAAGGGGTGAGGTAGAGCAAATTAAAACATAGGATAGTGTAGAAGTTGCACTATCGCTATTCATTGGCTTTCCAACTATCAAACTCTTCCTCCTAATTAACTGTGGGTTAGGGGAGTACTCATGACAGCAGTGGTGCCATTGCTCCCACAGGGTGGCTGTCTGAAATAGCCAAACCTTTATGTGAGCAGTATTTGAAGAGAACATTTTAGCAAGCAACAGCTAATGTACTGAGGGTTCTCCAGGCTTAAGAGTTAAGCTCTCCCCTTCACTGCACCACCTCTCCCACATCTTAGAGAACTAGGCATAAATTATTAGTCTCTACAGCTACTAGCCTGGACTTCAATGTGAGCTTTGCTAATTGTTTCAGATGCATTTTAAAATCTACAGCAACATTTCTTCAAGTCTGTGCTGAAAATATGTGAAAACCACATCCAGATCACATTAATATGGAAACTTCCATCTGCAAAAAGGCAGGTCAGCTCACCCCAATTTTGCTTTGTTCCCAACCTCCTCTCCCTCCACTCTCCCCAAGGCCTCTTCCTGCAATTCTCCCCAAAGTAAGAGTGTCTACATGGAGTTATGATGCTTTTGACTTTTAGAAGCTTTCATCAGAACACTTTCTCCTGAAATACCCAACTTTAATATAACAAAGCAATTACAGCTTGAAAAAGTGAGGTAAAATCTTCTACTGGTATGAACAGTGACAGTCGACAGGATCCCACTATTATGCTGATTATTTCTTGGAAAAGGTGACAATTTCCAGTAAGCATCCTGTATATTCTCTTGCAGGAACCTTTAAATCTGAAGGACATGCTAGTCAAACATATGACTGCCAAGTACATCAGGCAACCAGGACAGGGAAATGGAGCTTCCCAAATGGTCACTGCAGTTTAGCTAGCATTTCAGAAGGTAAAATTTTGTGACTGCAACTGGTATGAAACGTGCTTAATACGTGTGCAATTTCTTCCAATGCTCCTGTGAGTGCAGCTGTTATACCAACAGTTAACAAAACACTAATAAAAGCCATTATCATTGATCAGTTGTATTGGTTTAATTTTGACTGTGACTTTACTATTTGAGCACACTCTAAAGTACAATGCAACTCATAGTTAAAAGCCACACAAAAGTCAGACCAACTGGATACCCATCCCCTTTTCCAGACTGACTTATTCACAAACACTGCAGTCAACCACTGAAAACATAATTGTTAACAATCGAGTTAAGCTGCTTCCCTTCCCTATCTATGAAATACCATTGTGATGTATCACTGCAGTTACAAAAGCCTTTTTTATACCTGTTTTATAAAACCAGACGTGTTTGTACTATTTGCATGTAGATTTTGCAGAAGTGTCTCATGGAGAGTAGTCCTACAGTTTAGTGGCTTTTCTACTGCCTACGCTCTAGTCCACATTTTTGTTCATGGTTCTATCCTATAGGAGTTTTCAGTTTCTAACTTTGTGATTAGTTACAAACAAGCCGAGCAGCAAAGCCTCTGTACACAAGTGCCTAAGATAGTAGTAATTACATTTTAGACTGGGCAAGAATACAAGGCTTTGGCAAAAAACTAGATGCAGGATGTGGCTCTACTCCCGTATGTTTTGGCTAGGAACTGTTTTACTCGCACATCCTTATTTTACTATTACCTCCTCTCTCACCTCTACATTAAATATAATTGGAAACTACCGGTTAGGACTGCTTGTGACTTGTGGTACCTTCCAATCTTCAGCTTTGCAGCACATGGGAATGAAGTGCATCGTTTATCTAACCACCTGTAGCTGAAAAACACAAAAGGCAGTATTATAGTGGCACACAGCAAAGGTTAAACCCCAGTGAAACTAAGACTTAGAGAAACACAACCTGTTACTGAAACAAATGCTGCATGTCACTACACTCAAAACTGCAATTCTGAAACAGCAGCATTTAGAATTCAGAGTAAATGAAACTCTGAAACTATATTTATGTCCTTCCAACCCAATAAAGTGCATTTAATTGCAAAACATTACTATCAAGAACACGCACTTGAGAAGCATCTTTATCTCCCCAAGAATGGACATGAGCAGTAAACCTTGCAGCCCTGTAGATATACCATCAACTTTATTATTCTAGAGATAGGAAATACTTTCATAAAATGAAGATTATTCTGCAACATGACCAGGAGCAACAGTACCATCAAGGACTTTTCAGGAGACCTCACGATGTTGCTGCTTGCCAATTACACAGAAGTTACAGCTCTATCAAAGGCAGCCAGCTCCTGACCTCAAGCTAACTGCAATTAGTGCTTTCCTTTCTCTCCACTGAGCTAGAGTCCACAAGGACTGCTAGATACACCATACTTCTGAAATACAGAGTGTTTCAGTGTCACAATTTTTGTCAGCAATTCAAGAAGTTCAATATCCTAGACAAATGCTGTTGGGATTACAGAAGCACAGTACCTCATTTTACTGGGCTACACATTGTAAAGCAAATTACTGAGGCATCTGAAAAAATACCCTACAGGAACTGAACATCCAAGAGGCCACTACTTCATAATTAATAGTTAGGAAGACTGCCTTTCACACTCAACTGCCAGCAAAATTGGAGAACCAGACCTACCCCCCATCATGACGCTTTAAGGTACATAAATGTGCACGATCCCTCCCCTCAAAGCAAGCCCCTTTATGATCTCCATTTTCTCATACTTCCTCCATCTCCCATGATGCAGATGACAGTATTCTAGCCTGAAGCACTTCCACCACTCTCAACACCAATTTCAGTTAAGGAGACCCTAGTGTTTTGCCGTTACAAATACTCAAACTACTGAAAAAAGATGCATCAATCAGGAAAAAAAAAAATCACTAAGGACAAGGTTCTAGGAAGTAAGGTACTTTGGAGTATTTAATAGATGACACTTTAAGCCTGTACAATGCAACAACATTGAACTCTTCTGCGTTTTTTTTGCCAATTTGAGAAACAGCTAATAGTCAATGCCACTTGATTAAAAAACATGCGTCTGCCCCGGGGAAAGTTCAAAGCATTAGGAAGTTAAAAAGCACATACTCACTGATAAAGCATACACTGGACCACAAGGCAAAGTCCTACCAGTTCTGCAGAAGTTCTTAAAATTTTCTTCCCTTCACAACAAATCTGTAGTGTCTAAACTTGTCTGTGACCTTACTTAAATTCATTTGCATGTTCAGAAAACTGTTACAGAAAGAATCTTAAGATAGTCCCAGTCTAAGCTGACTCCCACTGTTGTGTCCCTCCATAAGTAATCTGGTTGCCATTCAAGGGTTTTCTACTGGGAGACATTCAGAAACAGGTCAAGTATCACAATGTTTATTGATAGATATAAGTATATAAAACCAGGGCATGAACATGTCTTGATAAATTAAGTAGATTTAATTTCAGTACTATAGAGGGGCCAATTCAAATTTCTCACCATGTCATGTTTCACACCCACAAAAACCTCTTCCAAAGGGCATTAAACCACCTTTTCAGCTGATTGGTTCTGTGCAAGTAAAAGGATTTAGAAGACTTGTGCACTTGCCCAGGCTCAAGGATATTAAAACCTAGCACATAAAGCCCATTACTAGAGGTAGAAATACAGGCAATATACTATTACGGCAACAACCATCGATTACAGTTAAGGATTCTCTGTAACAACCAAATGGATAATCAAATATTGCAACAACTCAAGTATTACACTGAGCAAAGTGCATTTCTACAGTATTCAGTGTTGCTATTCAGTTTTCTAACTTAAAAACAGCCTATGATAACTGGCAGCAAAGAAGACCCTTGCAACAGACTGCTTCTGCTCGAGAACTTATGATGTAATTATTGCATGCTGCTAATACACTGTGTTACCTAAACATTAAAGATACTCTAAAATATTTTTATTGTAGACTATTAAGACATACTACAAAAACCTTTTGCAGAAAATATCCTACTGACATACTTCTGCTTTAAATATTGTGAAACATTACAGCGGAATGAATTTTCGCAGTGGTTAGGTCAAATGCAGTTACATCATAGCAACAGTATGTTTGCACAATTTAAGGCTTTGGCTGGTTCTTTAGTCAGCTTCTTCTTCAGATTCTTCTTCTTCAGCAGTTTCCAACCAGGTTAACCATTGGTTTACCTACAAAGAATTGGTTTAAGGGAACAGTAATTAATTCCCCACTATGTACACACTGGTGAAACACTGCTTCCCACCCTCAAATGACTTTAAAAAATCTTTCAGCCAATTTGCTCTAAATGCAGGCCTCTGGTAAAATAAAAAAAAAAAAAAAGGAAGTTCATCTTTTGTCACTCCTTCTTAGTAGGGGAGTCCATGAAGTTTCTATGCATTAACAAGTCTTAAATACTTTGACAGTGTACAGAAGACAAATCTCTATTTCAACATTAGCAAATTTACCTGGAATAAAGCTTTGCCTTTCCCTGGAAACTCCTGAGTAATATCTTCTTTCCATGCCAAGAAGGCTTCTTCTTCAATGATCTCCATGTCATAGAAATGAACGAAGAAGCGCAACAACATGCCTGTGGAAGTGAATTTGAACTCTGTTAGCTTTGAAACCTTCTGAACAGCTTAACCAACTCCAAGAAACGTAGCAACAAGCCAGAAAGCCATACAGACACAAGCAAGCAGACACACACTGAATCTTAGCAAGATCTGATGCACATACCTTTTGGAAAGTTATTGTTGTAGCAGTGCACCTGGAGTGCATACAAAGCACTCACTTGCAGATCAACATGGTCATGGAGGAACTTCTGCATTACCGGCTTGAAGGAAAGAAGCAGCTGTTTTTCCTGCTCTAGCTGCTCTTTAGATGGAGCAGATGAAGAATCCGATTCGTCACTAGGTGGGTTTACTTCACTAGAAATATACTGCAAGAAACTGGACAAAAAGAAGTTCTGTAAACCAAGATGTAACATCTAGACAATGTTCTAAACCAGCAAGTACTCTCAAATTTAGTCTATTACTAAAAATACCCTCCTGCTTGTATCAGCAGTTAGGTGCATGAACAGTGGAATAGCACTGTGGTTTGACTACGCCATGAAAATCCTAGCTTTGCTTCCCTTATGGCTCTAGAATTTTGGAAACAAATGCAAGTCTAGACTTTTCCTTCCTAAAGAAAGGCCAGAACACTTCCCACTGATGCAGGCCTGGAGACTTGCTTTACATATCAAATACAACAGCTGCTCAATACAGGGGAGGTTCACTCAGACCCGTTTACTTTCCTGTGTACTAAATGCTTTTCCGCAGAGCTACATGTCAGCCTTTAGAGACCCAAGTGATTTACTTAAGTACATCAAGACACCATCTCACCTGGTCATCAATATATTCACAAATCCCTTATCTACATGAAGTTTGGGTGAAATGTTATCTTTAATCCACTTATAGATAGCTTGAGGGGATGGATCCGATTTTATTTGCTTTAGCAGTTCCTTCTCCAGTTTCAGAAGCGGGAACAAGAAACTAAGCCCCTTCCCTTCTAAGATCTCCAGCATGCGGTCCTTGTTCTGGTCAATTTCTGACAAGTAAACAAGACAGACACACTTAGGTCAAGCGCTAATGAAAAGATATACTCAATGGGTCATGGGTTTAACAACCTATTAAGAAACACCACTCCTAATAATTATGACACTATCATTATACTGAGTTGTATGAGTATATATACTGAGACTGAGTACATACATCATACTGATTATCAAAGTTATTTCACTTTGTATACTATTTCACTCTGGTGTAAAAAGCTAGTGAAAAACCATCCAGCATACTCATGACTATGAGGTGTCAGAAGAGCCATGTGGTAACTCTTACCTGGTAACATTTTCTGCATATTCACTTTGCTTTGTTGGAACAATTCTGTTAGCCATTCACGATCTTGTAACTTAGCTAACTGCTGAAGGCAAAGCAGAAAGAGAGGGAAATGGGTGCCACTTTCCAGTGGTTGAGCCAGTTCGGAAATGCTCACCAGTTCTGAAATAATGGCACGGGCTGCAAACTGTGCTAAGTAGGATTTCACCAATGGGATGTCCACCTCCAGTTTGGGACACTGGTCCAATACGTTCAGGAATGCCTAAGAAACAGTACACACACGCTGAAATTCTGAGGTAATTCTGTCCTTGTGCACAGTAATACTCTTACTACACAGGAGTTTCATGCTTCTCTTCTGCACTGAGTGACTTGCCAAGTAGTCCCCCTTCCCAGTTCCTGAAGTCCTGTACCTACATTCCTTCATCATTTCTTATGCCCCTCATAGGTTTATACATTATGTCACCTCTCAGAACTTTAAAGGATTTGCATGCTGCTTTTACGCAAGCTAAGCGCCACGAACAGCCAAACGCAAGGACTGTGAGCCTACAAAACCACATTACCTGCATGAAGTTGTCACTTGTGGCTATTCCCTCCTGCTTGAGCAAGCTGATCAGTGTACTTGCTTTCTCTTTGTCTTCATCTGATCTATCTAGGGACTGAATGATTACTTTGCTCAACATCTCAGGAATGAAGTGCTTTGGAGCCCTCATTTCTCTTACAGTATTGACAGCATCATTAGCATTTCCATTGTTCAAATACTCAGTCACAACAGCTTCCTAGAAAAAGAGCACAGTTAAACCTTCATTTTTAAAGGCATATGTATACAATGCTTCAAGAAGCACCACTACCTACTTAACTTACAGTTTGTTTAAGTAGCTCTTCTTTAGAAGGAGGTGGTTTCTTGGTGGTCTTTGCAGGCTTTTCTTGTATAAGTGGGGGATTTGTTTTAAGACCAAGTTGAGGAGGCTGAAAAAGATACCAGAACTTGTTTCTTTCCAGTACATCTACCTATATTTATATAAAGTTTAAGAACACTAAGCTTTAAATGTCTGAAGCAATTAAATACAGCCACCAATACTAAGTAATTTTTATGTTTACCTGTCCCAAAGGTGGTGTCTGAGTGCGTGGTGGTTGAGCACTGGGAGGAATCATAGTTATCTGGGGCTGAAGCTTTGGCACTTGGCTTTTATTCATTAAAAAAGACTGAGCAGGTCTCAGGCTAATCTGTAAACAGACAAGTCAGAGAAAACCTCAAACTGTTTCAATTATTCTGACTAAGAATACACAATCATGGACAAAGTACCAACTGATCACACTGAAGCATGACTTTTCCATTTCTACAATGTTAACACTTGGATATAGATTAAGCCACATGTACTCACTTCCCCCAAAAGCACAACTTGATTTGTGTGCTTGGTGGAAGTTACTAGTATTTAGGTCCACTGGTGTACCTGGAATTGCTCCCTTTTAGATGCAGTATGTTAGACACCCAAAAAACACTTAACAGATCTGCTGATGTACTTTACAGCAAAGATAAAAACTCTACCAATTGCTCAGAAATCAGGATATGCGTCTAGTTAACACTTAAAACAACAATGCAGTTTACTATGCATTTGGAATTTTGCCCATTAACCAAAAGAACAGAAGACAAAAAAAAAAAATTTAGCCTGGTCCAGCATTTCAGGATTTATGAAGTTCAGGATTTTGTGAAGTTTTAATTATGTGTTGCTCTCAGTATGATGCATGGGAACTGATGTCAGAGTAGTATTCTTGGGGAAGTGTGGGGGAAGGGACACCCCAAGAAATTGCCCTCATATCTCAGTCTTGCTCATAGGACGCTGGATACCCCAAGGAAAATGAGGGGTAAGGTGAAAGAGAAAGGGACAAAGGAGGAGGAAGAGGAGGAGAAAGAGTTCCAGCATTAGTCCTCATAATAACGCGTCTTGCTATAATCATTGGGCAATATTGAAAATAATCTTTAAGTAATGTAGTCATGTCATGTACCTCATCTGCATTAAGCTGTCCTTTCTTAGAAAACCGAGGTGGCATATCCTTCGACTGTCCTTGTTGCTGGGATAAGAGTCCCTGATTCTGGTTATGGTAGAGCTGGCTTTGCCCCTATTTCAGAAAGGGAGATATAGAGAAAGAAGTGCAGATGATGGAGTGGCGTACATCATATGGTAAGTAGTACCAGAGGGACCAGAGGCACAAAGATTCTACTTGCCAGGAAGGGAGAAAGAAGGAGCAGGGGTGGTGGGAGAGTAGCATCTATCCCTAAAAACAGGGCTATCTTATTTAAAACACACCTTTCTGACCCACCAAAGCCACATGCACCTTTTCTTGCAATAAGAAAAAAAAAAGTGTATTCCTTCAATCTCTTGCACAATTCTAAAAAGTGGTTTAGAATTTTCGTATCAGCTGAGCATCAGTTCTTAAATTCTGAGGAAGTCTCCCAACATAAGCAAACTATAATCCATAGCACACGCATCTGCAGAAGAGCTTCTAAACAAGCTGAAGTCATCCTGTGAACAACATCCTCCTTACCTGATTTTTCAGAAAAGATTTGCCTAGATCTCCAAACTGGGATTGAACAGAAGGCATGAGGTGACCCCCATGGCCATTGAAAAGTTGGTTGGAACGATGGCGTCCCATGGTGGGTGAAAATCTATCCTGAATAACCCCTGGACCAGTACCAATTCCGCTACCTGTATTATGGAGAGAAAAGACAATTTTAGGGCTTGTTAAGTGCAGCACACCCAGAGTCATCCCAAGCAGCCTTGCAGTTTGAGTGTACCTGGCATTTGTCCAAACATATCAGCAAGCCCTCCGAGTGGGTCCCTGTCAAGTTTCATCCTGGGTGGCATAAAGGGTCCCTCCAGAAAGAAGTCGCCTCTCATCCCTTGAGACATAGGAGCAGGAATAAAAACTCCCAGATCCTTTAAAACAGGAATTACCGTTTTGGTCAGTTTGGAGTAATGGTCCCTCACAGAAAGTCAAACTTTAACTCTGAACTATGGAAGTCCATTTGATTTTATTGTTACACTCTGCTGTGAGAGCCACTACTAAGTGCACAGCTTAAGTTTTGTGACATGGAGTAAGCAGCATAAGGATTCACCTTTAACTTGAGCAAAAGCTGAGCACAAGGACTTTATATGCAAACACTTACTTTTACTGCATCTTGACGGATTTGATTGATAGTCTTTGGTCCATTGTCAAGAAAAGCTTTGCGAGGAACCCAGTTGTGTTCTCTCAACTCCACAGTATCCTTGGAACATAATGAGTTATTAGAAAAATAGTCAAGACAACATTGCAGAAAGAATAAAAATAGGAAATAGTAAACTGTATTATCATCCTACCTGCAGCAGGAAACGAATCCTTGCTGGCAATTCCTTACTTGACATCAAGGAGCGCATACGGGCAAAGTACTGATCCATTAAGGACTGGAGGAACAGAAATGAGGCTACAAGTGAGGACTAATTCTATCAATGTCTTGATTATTTTCAGGAAATGTGACCACATTCAAGACATCCAACATAAAATATAACAAACTGCGCTCAGGAACTCAGATTAAGAGCTCCTCAGCAAATCTCTTCAGTCAATATTTAGAGGACAACATTCTCACTTTCATTACTTCCAAATGAACCTAACTGCATTTTGGAAAGACATTTAAAACCATTTCAAAGATCAGCTCTTTTTGCAATCAAGAGATTTGATGCAGGAGCAGTACTTGGCACTCCTGTTCTCTGGAATTCAGAGCTCGGTTTACACTTAAAACATTGAATAAAGTTCAGACAATTGCAAGTCTTTGCCACAGAATTTAACTGGTTAAATGACTGACTGCAGTGGATATACACATACCTTGGCTTTTGCATGGTCTAATCTAGGTCCCACTGTCCTCATTATCTGACAGAGGCACTCCAAATCCTCCCCCATATCTTTGAGTTGGACTCTCTTCTTCTTTTCCAAAAGCTGAAACATTAAAGGGGAATTGGGTATTTCACTGTATTATAAATGAGAATTTATGATGATTGACAAATTTCTATACAAACACTGGCAAAAAAATGTCTTGTTTTGATATTAAATGGACTTGAAAACCAATTTTCAAGAACTGATACTGAAGTACTTTTAAGTGCTTATGCTTTTAAGTGGCTGCAGTGCTTCTGTACAGAGCAAGCTACATCTTTCCCTGGAGACAATTCCCATGACTGAACAAAGACTACTTTACCTTCTATTCACACCACCAGACTACTTCAAACAGCAGGGAGTAGACAACTGATAGAAAATATTTTTGCAGTGTTTTATGCTCCAAAACTCCCAAAGCAACATAGACATTACATTTCTTTTTTTGCTTGATCTGAATACTCACTGTTTTGATGCACTTATGAAGGATAGATTCATGAATAAGATCAAGCTTGCCAAGTTCTCCAATGAATTTGATGTTCCCCAGCATCTTAATCTTGGCAATGGCTCTCTGTTCCTCCTCCTCAGGGAGGAGGGGACCATCATGCTTATCATAGACTGGAAAACAAACAAGCCTGTTTAACGCAGCTGTGGAAAGACAAGATCAATTAATTCTGTATTAGAATGGTTTTAAAACTTACTATCAACATTTCTGGTTCGGTTTTCAAATTCATCTTGAAGTTTAGATATTAGGAGGCGTCTGAATGTCTAAAAAGAGAGAACAAAGAAAGCAATTAAGTTAATCACTGCAACCACACATACTAGCAAGATTTATCATTCCAGATTGAAAGGTGAACTCACTGTGCTTTGCTTCTGTCCTGGATGACTCTCTGCTGATGGGCCATCAAAGTTGGGTGCATCTTCTGCCAGTCGCAGACATAGTTGAGCATACAGTGAACTATACTTAGGCTCTTCAAGGGCTTTGTCTACGATCTAAATAAATATAAGTAAGGTAGCATGTAGGCAGATGTAGCAGGATGCAAATTAACATTAGCTAAGTGAGCTGCAAGACACACAATGGAATATTACCACTCTGCATGATCTAGAACATCTGATTTTGCTATTTCAAACACACAGAAATAATGGACTCTGCTTTAACACTACTCTTAATGCTGAAGCAAAAGATAAAAGCCACACCACGAGCTTCTATAATGCTCAGCCAACAAATGGCACAAATTTAAAGTTATCATCAGGAACAAAGTTTTTCCCAATCTGAGTTTAAACACAGTAACATGACAGACTACCAAGAGATCAACTGTGGTAGCTATTCAAAGACCATTTGGCTTCAGCAGGGAAAGAGGAATGGAGGAGGGGGGAAGCAGGGAATTAAGAATGCTAGCTAGCACCTCAGATGAACCCCCAAAAAATCCCCACACCAATCCACCACCCCCACCACCCCACCCCCAACCCCAGCAAAACAAATGAACAACAACAAAAAACCCCATCCAATCATGTTCGGTGACTCTTGAGACTGCTGTAACAGTAAGTTAAGCATTAAGTCCACCTCCTCGAAGCATATCCTTTTTACACAAAAAGCAGGTGCGATTCTCTTGTATACTCAGGTTATTAACATTAGCAATATTACTTCCGTATCTCAAGACTAGCCAATCTCCATTTTTTAACATGCAACAAAAGTGCAGTTAAAAGAAATGCAACCATCTTACCAGCAGTATGACCCCTTTTAGGATGAGCTTAGATTCTACACCCACATTGAGGAGCTCAAGGCATAGCTTGTCAAACTTTTCAGGAGTAAGCTTATTTAGTATGCTAAAGAGGAGCAAACAAAAAAATTTACATTACAGATATTATCAGCATGCTACAAATAACACTAGACTGAAGCTTAGTTTTATTTCTTCAGTCTATGTAAGAAATTGTAGTGCAGTTCCCCCCCCCCCCTTTTTTTTTAGATGTGATATCTTTATAGTGTAAAGTATTACTAAAAAGACTAATCCTCTCAATATTTACTTCACACGTGTTTGCTGCTGGGTGGTCTATTAAATTCTGCCTTCTTCTTTCCAAAGAAGACCACATACTCACCCCCCACCCACCCCAGAACTCATGACTCGAACGTCTTCCTTTAACCAGCCAATTTATTAGATGTATGCTGCTAAGGAAAAGAGTTAGAACAATAATCTTAGGGAACTTACCCTCTTACTTTCCTGAAGATTGCATCATGTCGTTCTTTGTCATTTGCGGAGTCGTCATCTCGTCTAGTGCTTCGTGAAGGAATCCATTTCTGAGCGTTTTGCCCTGGGGTTTTCCCCAGGAACTCGCTGTGAAATTTTTAATATGATTGTCAAACAAAAACAATTTGAAGAACTGGCTTTCTAGTCTTTCAGTATTGCTTTACTCTAATTCCATTGCTAGCTTTGTTAAGAGCATGCACTTACAAATACTGCAACATCTGCTGCATAGTATTGCCTCAACAACAATAATAAACCACAGAAAACCCTCTAAAGTGAAATGCATGGAAAAGCCTCAGCACCTGGTATCACTCATGACACACACTTTCAACAGATGTTATCCTGCCACAGACTACAGAACATTAAGACGCCATGAAGTCCTTAGATATTCCTCGTAGAACTCTGAAAAGACTTAATTTTCAACTCAGCATTCACCATCAAGCAGTCTCTGCTTTTAAAATCATGCCAAATCAAAAAGCAAGATGATATACCTGTTGCTGGCAGTCTTGGGATAGTGCTGAGGTGCACCCCTACCACCTCCTCCGCCTGAAGAAGCACTGTTAAAAACCACCATGAAATCTTGCATGAGTTCATATTACCAAAGTTTTCAATTACATGTCACTTTCAGTATAAACCTAAGATAAACTTAAATTCTCCCCAAGTAACAGTGCCCACTACTAAGTGTCCTCAAACAGAACAAAAATGCACTAGTACCTGAAACGAGAAGCACCCCCTTCTGCAATCGCACTCTCCACTTTGGCGGCTTGACAACGAAGAAACTTCAAAAGAATAAAATTAAATTGACGGGGTGGGGAAAAACAAAACCTAGAAAGACAAATCAAGCGTTTATATTATAGCTGTTTTACCACCATCCATAATATTGACCTTACAATAAAAATACAAACTTAGAGAAGGAGAGCCCTCAAAGCACTAAGCTTCACAAAACGCACAAAGCTCTTGCTTGTGCGGTACTTGCGATATTCACAGAAAGGCCAGTTTCATCATTACAGCCATGTTCACCAAAGAGGGTGAGGGAGCAGAGCTAATGGACTCAGACTGAGAAAGTAAGCGCCTCGAATTCACCCTGTCAACCCCCCAAAGGCACTTGCAGAAAAGAACTAAAGTGGGGTGTTTTTTTTTTCCCCTTGCTAGTACAATTAAATAAATCCTTTATTGCCATGCTTTACAAACTGACTAACTGTGGCATCACGAAGTAGTCAATTTTCAAAGTGAGAAGTTCCAGACCACAAAATACACACTATATATAGCAAGAGCGATGCATTCTACATCCAAGTCCAAATGGCCGATTATGTCACTAAATAATGAAAAAAATATTACCCCTCCCCACGTCAGATTTCAGCTTGCAAGACAGCAGCAGGCATCAAACTTTCACTGCCCTGGTCACGCTGCAGAAAGCGAGTCACGGGGATAGAAACTCCCGAGAATCATATAAAAAAATCCCACAAGCATTTTCAGCCTCCATCCCAGATCTGCTCCGACACACTATACACCGAGCACAGAGTCATCTCCTCGAAAAACCTGCCGGAGAAACCGCCCGAGCGAGCACGAGGGACGGCTCTCAACATGGCGGCCACCGAACAAAAGGGCTGCGGGAGCGGGAAGAGCGCCCCCCGCAGGAGGCAGTCGCCTCGCTGCCGCATGGAACTGGCGGCTCCGGGCGCACCGAGCCGCCCCCCCCCCTTCCCCCACCAGGCGCCGCCCGTTCCCCGGCTCAGGCGCCGTCAGGAGCCCAGCCGGCTCTTTGTTCTCCGCGAAGGAGGGGAGCGCGCTCAGCTCATCCGCCGCCGGCGGCAAACGGCGCCCGCCACTGGCAGCACCCGCCTCGGTCAGCCCGGAAAAAGGAGGGGAAGGCAGCAGCCGGTATCGCCCCCCCCCGCATCACCACCCCCGCTCAAGCAGCGCCTTTACGTTACTCGCCGCCTAAGTCTGAACAGGAAACATGGGCGAGGCTGCTGCCGGCAGACACGGCTTCTCCAGTAGTCTGCTTTCCCACCAACGAGAAACACAAACACAAGTAAATAAAAAGTAAATATATAAATATATATATATTCTTTCACCACCGGCTCTTGCATACAAACTTGCTCCTCCGCAGTCCCCTCTTCCCCCAACACCTACTCTGAAAGGTCTTAAAACGGCAGCCAGCTACTCAGCTACCCCCCTTCAAGGGCAAACCGCTCGGGCACCGGTACCGCCGAAGACCTCAGCCAGGGACTAGGATGGGGCAACTGATCCGATCCCCCGAAAAGTAGAGCTTCCAACTGGCATGCCACGACCCGACCCCACCTCTGCCGCTGCAAATATACAGGCTCCAACCTTAAACGTTTCTACTCAGCTTCCCCTCCGCATTTAGCGAGGGCTGCCGATCTTCTTTACATTTTCGCTTAGCAGCCGCGGTAACCCAACAGGGGCAAGCACAAGCGCCCATCGACCCAAGCCGCCATTTTGTGCGGAAGAAAGCGAGAAGAAGCCGGCGAGAAAATGGCGGCCGCTTAGGGCAGCCGCCATTTTAAGCGGCAGCTGCAACAGTACCCGTCCCCTCCCGGCCCCAGATGATTCTTCCACTCGCGCATTTCTCACCTTCTCTAAGGCCTTGTCAGCTTCCCCGGGTCCCGGCGGCTACCAAGGGCAGGGGAAAAGGCAAGAGAGGGGGGGGAGGGGAAGGGAGCCGGGGACCGGGGCTGGGGAGGGGAAGGGGGGAGCGCGCGAGACAGGGCGAGCCTCCGAGTCACCACAGCAGGAGCAGCAACAGCACAACGCTTCCCTCTACCACCTCCATAGAGAGCCGGCTCGCCGCCGCGTCTAAAGCGCACTGAGCCAGCCCCACTAACTTTATTACCGTTCACGCAACCTACCCCACCTTCCTCTACCACGCACCAATCGCCGCTAAGGGCTCCGCCCGTCTTGCCAATCAGAACCGAGAGAGGGTGTGGCCTTAACGCCCAAATGGGCAGAGGAGGAAGGAAGTTTGGTTGAACTGTACCGTCGCCGCAGTGCAGTATCCGTATTCGTGAAAGCCATTACGCCACGTTGTTGGCGATAGGGTCTAGAAGGGAAGGGAAACTTGCGCAAGTAGCGTAGCCGCTTAATGGCGGCAGCTTGGATGCGTCTTGCATTTGCTGTTAGGTCGTGTGCTTCAGCTGTCAGAGAGCCCCACTTTTAGAGGCCTAGAGTGTGAGTTACAGTTCTGTCACGTTCACAGAAGGCTAGTTTAATATATATCTATTCTGAGAAGTTTTTTTTTGGCTTGGGGTTTGGTTTTGGTTTTGTTTTGTTTTGTGTTTTTTTTTTTTTTTAATTGTAAATTTATTTAAGCTTAGGTTTTCCCTCAGTCAGACCACATTTCAAATTTGGTCGAGGTAAGAATTTAGCGGATTGTCGACTATAGTCCTGAGCTTGCAATCAGATCCAAAGGAGACTTGCCATTTGAGATCTTAGAGCCTGTCGATATGGATCCAATTTCAGGTTTGCTTTCTGGATTTGGAAACTATTTCTATCTCTGCATGTGCTTTTGGCTGGTAATTGGCCTGTCCATGGCAGGGCATCCTGCAGGCAACTCGTGGACAACCAGGATTCTGTAGAGTCATTTTTATGTATTTATCATGCTAAACATGCAGCTGGTGGGATTTTTTTTTTGGTCTTGCTCAGTGAAAACAAAGATGGCCAGGCGTTATGCTATAGGTGGAAGTTTGAGTCTTGGGAGATTTCCAGAGATTTCTCAATGTGAGGTTTTATTCTTTTAACAGTCAGGTCTCAGTTCTAGATTGTCAGTGAGGTAGCGGCTACTTGGACTTGCCAAAGATTCAGACTTACTTGCCCTAGATGGGGCAGGACAGAAAACGAGTTAAGTAAACCTTGCAACAAACTTCACAAACATCCACATCTGCTTTGTTCTCACACATGCCTTCCGCTTTTGGTTTGTATGACTCATAATTCAGATGACTGGGAGAAAGTGATCCAGGTAGTAACTCTTGAACCATATACACAGTAAGTCCAAACAAATGATATTGCAGAACTTGAACTTCCCAGAGCCAGCCTCATTCCTAATGCTTTCAACACACTGTGCCACAATGTCCCAAGGATTATATAAGACCTAAAGGGTGCTGTCATGCAGGAGTTCTTGTGTTGCATCTTATCTGGGGTGAAGGTTGTTCAAGGTAGGTTTCCGTATCGCATACCCATAAGCGTTAAGGACAGTTTACTTAGATGATGTTACAGGAAATCTTGAATAAACTACCTGAAAGTAAGTTTTGAGCATGTATATGTTGCATAAGGGTGAACATAACTCTGACAGGTACTTGTCATACCAGAATTTTTATGTAATGACGCTTTCCTGCATTTAACCATAGTCATATTACTGCAAAAGCTTGGACCTTGGATGTGAATCTGCAAGAACAGAACTGTCTGGGTATCAGTCGAAATCAGTGGAATCTGGTTTGAAAGATGGGGTCAGTAGGCACAGAGAAAGCAGCAAAGTCAAGATTTAAACCAATATTAAACCCGGTTAATATTATTGAACAAAACATTCTCAGTGTAATAAATTAGTAAAAATACTTGTAAATCTTAAAACCAGAAGTGACAGTAAGGATTTTGTTTTGCACTGGATTGCAGAATAATCTCATAAAGTATTTCCAGCATAAGCATTCCAACACTGTTTGAGTTAGAGACCCCATGAGTGAAAATCAAGGAGAATTTATCTTTTTTTTTTTTTTTTTTTTTTTTTTTTTTGTGGGGTCGGTGGGAGGGGACATGAGAGAACAGAAAACCTGCAAAACATGGTAGGTACATATTGACAGACCAGAGTACCATCTTCTTTGTTTGAAAGCATACTATAAAATACTTATTACCATAACAACAGAAACAACCACCAACATTTGTTCAGTAAGAGAATAGCAGCAAATGATCACTGTTTTCTTAAAACTGTGATTGTTTTTTTAGGACTCAGTCCTGCATCAGCAGGATGTATGCTGTTCTGCATCTCACACTGACTTTGGCATGTGGGAGCCTAAGAAGCTTCAGTGCTTGGCTACACATAGCTTTCCTGCACATCTGTGTCATGCTTTGTCAGCCTCAGACCAGCTGTACTAGTACAATTGATGAAGGCAATGATCTGTAGTACAGAGGTAAAAAAAGATTGTGAAATAACTTCTATTTTATACATTTCGCCTGCTTTTTTATATTCCATGAACTAATGTGGAAGACACCATTATTCATGTCTGAAAATGCAGCAGCCCAATTGTTCATATGATTATTCAGTAACAAATTTACCTAAAGAATCTTACTCAATGTCTCTTTGATTTATAAAATAATTAAAAAAATCAGCAAATGGCATTTAATAGCTGTCAGTTTCAGTATCACTTTGCATCCATCCGTCACCTTAGTGTCCACTCCCTCTTTTTCCCCTTTCTTCTAGTTGCCCTGAACAGCAGTGATGCTTTAATTCAAATAAGGTGTTTTACAACTGACATAGTGGTAGTTCTGGATTTGTTTCTACAAGTCTGAACTTGCAGAATCTAAGCATAATTCCAACTTGATTTCACTGCCACTGGTTATTTGGAGGACAAAGGTTGTCTGTGAAGTGTCGTGAGGAACCTGCTGTGTTGCAGACTGTGTGGCACAGATGTAGGAGTTGCTGGCACAGATGCAGGAGTTGCTACCACAGATGCAGCCTCTGTCTGAGAGGAAGAGGAATATCTCTTGCAGTGCATATGGCATTGCTCAGAACCAGAACTGGCTCCTGTCATCTACCAAAACAAGCCGTAAAATTTGGGAAAAGAGCTTTGCAGAACTGGGAATTTTTCGTTACTATTGCCAAGCTGGAATCGCCATAACTTTTCCTGTGTAGTATTTTGCATTGGAGTGGTTGCAAATCTGAGCCCTGCTGGGTGGAGATTCCAGACAGAGTGCTGATGACAGGGTAGCTGTAGCAGTGGCACCGTACCATCTCCAGTAAATACTTCATCTCATCACTGTACTGGTTGTGGATCTTGCTAGGTTGGGTTTTATGCAGAGCACCCAGCTGATGTAGTGTAGACGTGCATATAATGTGAACCAATCTGGAGTAATTCACTGAAAGTTCACACCCTAGTTTACTCCATGCTAATTTCTCCAACATAAACACTTTCTGCACCTTCTTACTTTCCAGATAATTTTTCTGCCTGCCTTTCTAAGTGAGCCTAATTTTTTTCCAAAGCCATGCATATATAGTTCCTGACCCACCTCATGAATGAAGCAGACATGAACATTTAACCAAATGTGTGCATACAGTTCTTTTTGTTGTGATAGAAGTCTGTCTCAAGGAGAGCTGTTCTGTAGAAAAAAGGCTTGGGGACAGATGGGGGGTGGGGAGGACGATGACACAATAAAAAACCCAAACTAAAAAACACACCTATATTTGCCACTTAAACAGGTTTTTTGGCACTTCTACTGAAGCAGAATGCTGTTAGTGAAAACCCCATTTATACTGTGCAGATGCAGAAAATCTGTGGAGTTTTAGTGTGGCTGATTTAACAATACTCACTGAGGCAAGAGCGTGTCAACCCTTCAGAACAGTGGTGTACTTCTAACT